CCACCCCCCCAGTCAAGGCAGGCCGCTCTGACAGGCAACACTTTACTCTGCAACCTCCCCTGACAGGGTGAGAACATATCCATCAAAATGAGGCTGCGCGACAGACAAGCGGGGTGCGAGACAACCTGTCAGATCGGGTTGTGTTCCACTCTGCGCGGCTTTGCCCTCATTTCATCCTGCTGTCTGTGTTTTACACTCCTTTTAACTGTCTTTCACCCCCACCAGCTCATTCTCTCCGTCGTTCAGATAAATATTTCAGCTTGCCTCAAATGTACGTTTGAAGATTTTGCTTCTCTATCTTGCAGAAACTTTGTCCATTTCAGTCGGCAAGAAGTGTCCTGGGTGTTTTTTTTTTTTTCTTCCTGTGACTCCTTTGCATCTCGTGATTCTCGTAGTTTTAAATTTATAGCCACTTTTTAAAGTTTCTCCTTGTGTAACAATATGTTATCCCTTTTATTTCCTCAGGTGTACAATGTCCACCCTTGCAAGTGGCTGATTGGAAGTTTCCTCACATAGCCAGGGACAATATTACCGGTAAAAATAAGATGAGCTTGTGTAGTTTAATTGTTTTCAGAGTTTTGTTTTGTTGTATGCTGATGAGTTCCCTTTTGTTGCCAGGTTTTAATCTAGTGAGGCGATTCTCCCTGCTCAAGGACGCAAACGTCAAGAAGATCCGCAACGCTCGAGGTCCAGTCATCCTACGCCTGGGCAAGACGGCACTCGTGCGCCCCAGCGAGTAAGTTTGCCATCTCTCTCCGTCTCTCATTGCTTTTTGCTCTTTTTCTCCGACACCTCCAACGTCTGGCACAACCATGTTTTGTACAGATTTAGGTGGGAGGGAATGAATTGTGTGCAACGAGGGAATACGAGTTACATTTTGCGCAGGATTTGCTGCTCTGTTTTGACCTAGGTGGACAGGCTTTCTCTTTTCCTGTCTGTCTGAATGAGAGCAGAGCACTCTTTATCTGTTCACCCACTGAACTTTTTACTCAACGTGTCAGTGCTGTCTAGTGCCTGTTGCATAAAAATACAATCAGCTGTCAAAGTGGGCAACATTTGTCACTTGCTGATAGCATTTCAGAACCAACTAATTTCTCTCACCACTAGTACTTGCCTGTAAAACCAAACTCTTAACAGCTTTTTGGCTTTCTGGTTTTAACCGCATGTACTTATTCTAAGTAGCTCTTGTAATAAAATGTCATACTGATATGCCTGAGCAGTAACTGTAGGAGTGATTTCCTAATTAGAAGGGCTGATGCAGATGCCAGCAAAAAAAATGCATAATTACAAGACTTGGAATTAAATAGCAGCATTTGAGTTTGTTCTGAACTTGTTATTGGACAAAAAATAAATCTAACATCCAAAAGTTTTATTGCATAAGTGCAATTTGTGATTTGTGTGTGTGTCCGTGTGTGTGTTTTTTAAGGAAGTGTCTCTGTGCCGTACTTTTATTTTTATTTTTTTTTCCTCTTTTTGTCCCCAGTTGTGAATTTGTGCGTCTCCTCTCCAGTAATAAAGCTGTTTTCTTTGTCAGAACTTGCCAAATGGGTCAGCCCAGAGCTCAGGGTATTTTATCACTCTGTCTCTTGTTGTAATATTTAGGCTTTCTTGAAGATAAATTTGCCCACAGAACATATTTTTTGGTTGAGAAGTTTTGCCCTGAAAGAGTCACAAACATTGTTTGTTACAGTTGTAGTGTTTTTCTAATGAAAAGAGGGGGGAAAAAATTTAACTTGTCAGGAAATCAGCATTTGTTTAGCCAAAGAATAACATCTCAGATACCTTTTTTGTTTTGTTTTGTTTTGCTCCAAACCATCCAGCGTAAAACAGGAACAACACTCAACATTTTCTCTCAGTTTCCAGTATTGACTTATGTTAGGGTACAGCTTTTATTGAAATGTTGGTGCCTCCCAGAACTTGGCTGTCAGTTTTATCAGTGAAGCATGCTACCTAGGTGAGTCATTGGACTCAGGAGAATAATCAATGCTAGAAATCCATCTCTCCTGTCTGCAGTCTTTCGTGCTTTTTATGTATGTATATACACTGCTCAAAAAATAAAATAAACAAATGGAACACAAATAACACATCCTAGATACAGAGTTGTAAAGTAACTAAGTACAAATACTTTGTTACTGTACTTAAGTAGACATTTTTGTTACGTATCTGTACTTTACTTGAGTAATTATTTTTCAGTGTACTTTTTTACTTTTACTCACTACATTTTTTTTAAAAAGGTAAGAAGTAGAAAGTCGTTACTCCTATTTTATTCCAAGTTTTTATTACTTTTAAATATATTATCCTGATAAATTGTGTCTCCTGGATAGAGTGAATTTAATTGTGATTGGATGAGAAGTATAAATATATACCATTCTGACACCCTGTTAGCTTGTACACAACCCATCACAGCTGCACACACTCTAAAAATGAAATGTTGGATTTACTTAACCATGTTATGTTACCTGGTTMCACTTAACTGAGTTGAGTAAGTTCAAAGCAACATACTCATGTTCTTTTGCTAAAAAAACTGGTATATTGCTTTGAATTTACTCAACTCAGTTAAGTGGAACCAGGTAACATAACATGGTTAAGTAAATCCAACATTTCATTTTTTACAGTGCACCGTTAGAAAGATTTTTTTTTGGAGAAGTCACCTCCCAATAAATGTCATTTTGGAAAATCAAACTGCTCATTTTTAATCAGTACTTTTACTTTTAATACTTAAATAGATTTTGTGTCAGAAATTTACTTTTGATACTTAAGTACAAAAAAATCAGATACTTTAAGACTTTAATACTTTAATACTCAAGTATCATTTTTAGAGAAGACTTTAAATTTTACCAAAGTAATTTTATGATAAGATACTTGTACTTTTACTCAAATATCACTTTGAGGTACTTTATACAACACTACCTAGATCTGAAAGAATGAAATATTCTCGTTAAATACTTTGCTCTGTACAAAGTTTAATGTGTTGAGAACAGAATCACACAAAAATCATTAATGGAAATCCAATCTATTAACCAATGGAGGCCTGGATTTGGAGCCACACACAAAATTAAAGTGAAAAAACACACTACAGTCTGATCCAACTTTGATGTAATGTCCTTAAAACAAGTCCAAATGAGGCTCAGTATTGTGTGTGTTCTCCACGTGCCTGTCCTCCCTACAATGCCTGGGCATGATCCTGATGAGGTGGCAGATGGTCTCCTGAAGAATCTCCTCCCAGACCTGGACTAAAGCATCTGCCAACTCCTGAATAGTCTGTGGTGCAACGTGTTGTTGGTGGATGGAGCGAGGCATGATGTCCCAGATGTGCTCAATCGGATTCAGATGGGGAGCAGGCAGGCCAGTCGACAGCTTCAATGCCTTCATCTTGCAGGAACTGCTGACCCCTTCCAGCCACATGAGGTCTAGCAACCTGCATTAGGAGGAACCCAGGGCCAACCGCACCAGCATATGGTCTCACAAGGGGTCTGAGGATCTTATCTATGGCATCTAATGGCAGTCATATTGCCTCTGGAGAGTACATGGAGGGCTGTGTAACTCCAAATAAATACCACCCCACATGATTACTGACCCACTGTCAAACCGGTCATGCTGAAGGATGTTGCAGGCAGAAGATCACTCTCCATAGCATCTCCAGACTCTGTCACGTCTGTCACATGTGCTCAGAGTGAACCTGCTTTCTTCTGTGACGAGCAAAGTGCATCAGTGGACAATTTGCCAATCCTGGTGTTCTCTGACAAAGGCCAAGCGTCCTGCATGGTGTTGGACTGTGAGCAAAACCACATCTGTGGACATTGGGCCCTCATACCATCCTCATGGAGTTGGTTTCTGACAGTTTGTGCAGACATGCACGTTTGTGAAGTCTCTACTGTAGTAGTAGTAGTAGTAGTAGTAGTAGTAGTAGTAGTAGTAGTATTTTAAACTCCTCTTTATAGTAACTAATTTTCAAAAATTATACAGATGTATGGCTTTTGAGCCACAAATGTCTGTAGTTGTTGACGCACATGCTTATATTTTCTCATTCCAATATCTTACAAGATAATTTACCACATTTTTTTCTCTGCGCCATACAGCTGTTGTAACACTGCTAAATAAATACAGCGGGTAAAATAAGTATTGAACACGTCAACATTTTTCTCAGTAAATATATTAGTAGAGGTGCTAATGATATGAAATTTTCACCAGATGTTGGTAACAACCCAAGTGATCCATACATACAAAAAATTAAACCCTAAATGTCCAGAAATTAAGTTATTTGTAATAATGTGGAATGGCACAGGGAAAAAGTATTGAACACACATACTGAAATTTATCTAATACATTGTACAAAAGACTTTGTTGACAATGACAGCTTCAAGACGCCTCCTGTATGGAGAAACTAGTGGCATGCATTGCTCAGGTGTGATTTTGGCCCATTCTTCCACACAAACAG